TTTTTTTCTATGGATGCAATGGACTCCAAACTAGGTGCGTTCCTCTAATTCTTCCTACCAATATGGCCAAGTTGCGAAAACAAGGTCAAACAAAAGCTGTGTATTTTCACCAGATACGCCCTATTTGCCAGGCGAAACGGATAACTCTGATCGAGTAAGTGTAACTAAAACTTAGCGCAGACAAGTGACGCTTCGAAGCAGATCGTTTGTAATTATTCGTCTGACTTTATGCTAAGGTTATGTCAAGACTGCTTGATCATAATTCACATGACTCAAGCAGTCACCATATCTGAGTCAGTTAATACTAATAGGACTGATGATTTTCCTCTTATTTTATCTGCATTCCGCGAGGGCTGTAATTCATTTTAAAGCCTACGGCTTCCGACCTCGCGATCTTGATATCATCTGACAATATTTGGTTATACATTAACTTGCCTAATGTGCAGGTCTACTTATTCGGACTTGTATAACGTATAAATACACTTGTTCTATGGAATCGGAGGGATCAACAAAACAGGTTTATTCTCATTTCTTAATCTCAGAGGTCTTGCTGTGGTACATAAAACTATCACATTTGAGTGAAAACATTTACAGCTGCCGAGCATTCATTTTACACTCATATATCAATATCCACTTGATTTTACTTCTTTGTTCCAGCTGGTGTAATTTATTTAATTGTTAGTTGGATATCAATCCTCTGTTCACGACATTGAAAGGCCGTTAAATAGGGAAAAACTAGATACACAAAAATTAAGGAAGAAACTGTTCTGAAACACTTTATCAACTTTTTTTCATCCATTTTATGTTTCACTTTCTTCCGCTTCTTGCAGTTTTGACGCAAATTTGCTCTGAATCCTTGAAACTTCAGTGAACTAAAATGGTTTCTCATTTGGCTTTCATCTCAACTATCGGCGCTTTGCTTTCACATTTTCGTCACTGGTACGGAAAATCATAGACTCCTTATCTTAGCCAACTTTCAACGAATAGCAAGCCAATTTCATTAAAATTCCATCTTCACGCTTTATTTATCCTTCTCTAATTGATCAGGAGTTGTTCTACAAACCTATGGCTCTGGCAATCTACCTGCTTCTCGAAAGGATCTCATCGACGTACTCGCTGAAGCAACGAATCGGGGCGTCCTCATTCTAAATATCACCCAGTGCTCGCGTGGAGGGGTCACTCCAACATACGCCTCTGGCGTTGTGCTCAGCTCTATTGGTGTAGTGTCTGGCTATGTGAGTTGAAAATTGTGAATTCCTCCCTCTAACCATTTCCAGATAGGATTTTTTTCTTGATATCTATTTCTTCTCTGATATGAGCTGCTATCAATTATTTCAACATTTAAAAAGCCTCTTGCAAAACATAGTTTATCACTTATCTCATATATTATCTCACGTGCTAAAAACGGATTTTTTATAAAGCGAGACTGCTAAAAGCCTTGATCGTTGCCTTTAGAATATTCAGGAAAACCTTGGCGGACAGATTTGAGATTTGCTAGTATGTAAGCAGTCTAAATCAGCAAAAGACAGAACATGCATATGCATGGGTGGAATTTCCATTTTCTTGGTTTTCTTGATGGCTCTTCCACTGACAAAGAGGCAAAGTATTTGAGAAGCGTTTTTAAAAGGTTCCTTATACATTCATCCCATCATTATCAAAAAAAAGTATAAAGGACTCAAACAGACAGTAACCTTCACACACACAGTCATTGATTATCCACTCACGATGTTTGTCTTTTATTACTCTATAATTGTCCAACTTGTATATGCTTTGTTACGCCTTTTTTTTATTCAATTTTCTCAGATACATTGTTTTTTATGGGATACTGCTTCTTTTTTTTAATCGTATGAGATCCCAATCTTTGTTTTTTATCTCGATCACGCTGTATTTTAAGGCATATTTTGTTTAAAGTTTACAATTTTGCAAGCATGTACATCTAAACTTTTCCTTT